GAACATGCTAAAACAAAAATAATGACCCACAGCCTTTGAAATATTTGTTGAAATATATATGATCCTCTTTTAAAATGTAAAAATCTTTTCAGTAAAGGTTCATACAGCTATTCTTCTGCGGAGACTATGAAAGTAGATGTAATCTAATGTCCATGTTATCATAAACATTATCATATATGTAAAATTAAAATATCCATGTAAGTGAATGACTTATTATCATTGTATAAATCCCCTTTTCCATTCCCTAGAGAATATATAATATTGTAGTCACATTAGTAGAAAGGCTACTAGACACTAAGACACAACAAATGTGTGATTGCATCTAATTACTTTGATCAATGAAATTATTATAATTTGAAAACTGCTTACATCTGTCAAATGGCCAAAAGTTGGTTTAGCTGTCTGGACCATTAGTTTCTGGGTCACTTCATCTAATTCTAGAATAAAAACAAAAGAAAGGACATCATTAATAACTTTTAAAAGTAACAAAAACTAGAGAAGTTTCTAATCTGTATAAATATATACAAACAGTGACCAGGGCCTGAGATGTGTAAGTGTCATAAGCACCTGACTGGCAAGCACAAGGCCCTGAGTTCAATCCCCAGTACTGAAAAAAAAAAAAAAAAAGCGACCAAATTAGATTCCCCAATAATAAAACCAATTCATTAGAACTTCTATCAAAATTCACATTTACATACAACCAGACTATCGCAGTTAATTTTAGCATAGCTGATTCAACCCAAACTTATCTGTGGCAGATGTTGTTGCTTGGATCTCATTATGAGATCTCATGAGTGAGTACACCACACTCGTGTTCTTATCCTTTGGCAGGATCACTTTCCATTGCAGAGTCTAAGAATACTAGGTCATTGGCTTTTAAGGATCTCATGCTCCTCAATAGCTAGCATATGACCCAAAGTCAACAGTAGGCACGTAATTTATCGGTCAACTATGAGAACCCTTCAGGATAAAAGGAAATAGTCAGGATTCTGACTGGACAACAGAGGTACGCCAGGGTACCATACCAAACTTGAACAAATGGACAAAAAAGAAGTGTTCTGAGCATCCTCTGGAATGTATAGCTTCCAGCTCACAATAGCCACCTAGCTTGGTCTACTGCCCTCTGTTTTAGATACATTACATTTTGAATACATGAATAAGATGATGGACTATATATGACACATGGAAGAGAGCAGAGTAAACCACAGGAAGACTGCAGACTCTTCACTGACGTGACTGAAAAGTTTGCTATGCTTACATAGCCTCCAAGATAACTTCATTTTTAATTAGTTCTTTTCCAACTTGCACAAAAGCATTCTAATTATATGCAATAAAATTAGGACTATGTTGTTTTAGGTAAAACCCATTCAAATATTAGTGAGACCATTTTTTGTTATTTTTCCTTCTTAGGTTTAAATAA